TTCTCAAAAGTTTATTTTTTTAATTAAAAATTCAGAAATTCCAGAGTTAAAAAAAAAGTGTATCGGGTTCAAAAAGATACGTTTCTCCTTTCTTCCCGTTAAAGATGTTTACGATACTCTACACTGAAATACAGTATAAAGGAAAAACTCTAATATCTTAGCAGAAATACCTTAGCAGAGTTTAAATGAAGATAGTCGTTACGCAAGAAAAGTAAATTTTGAATAATATTAATCGACGAGTGATTTCAGAGACACTAGGAGAAATGGCATACAATATCCTCTGTCTTTTATCTCCTCCCCTACTACAAAACCAAATGATCTTTTTTTTTTTTTAACCTAAGGACATGGAGAGAGGCAAAGCTGGTAATCGCCATCATCAGGCTATACAGGGGCCTTATTAAAAAGTACCCCCACAAACTTTCATTAAACTAGAGTTATCCAGTTGATTACTCTAAGTTGCTGGGCAAACATGAGCTGAGTGAGAGAAAGTATATTCTTTTCAGTAGTCTGTGTATCTGACTACATTATCGGGTTGCGCTTAACTCTCCTATATATTTCGGGGAAACGGCAGTTTTTATTTTCTGTAATTACCCATTTTCCTTTGTCCTAAGCCCTCCAAATTAACGCTGTGTATACTGTATGGTAAAACGAAATATGTGAAGTATATCTTAACCGAAATCACAACCAAAGAAATGGGATAGAATTGGCTCGAAAAACACTATGACATTTTCCAGAAAGTATTTGATAAGAAACATCGATTTGTATCTTAACGATTTATCTAAGTCCTCCTCAGCATACCACATACCTTTCTATTGGTGATTTGTACTGCTTTTCAGTTTGCTCAAAGTGGGTTTCCTTTTAATATCTGTAAACCTATCACAGAAAGATATTCTGTCCGGCTTCAGCCTCAAGGCGGTGATTTGTGCGCTGATAGGTGTACTTTGTTTAGTGTCACCCACGGTGTAGATTGGATAGATTTTGTAAAAGATAGCATTACTTTAAAAGAAACATACAATTTGACAAGCGATTGCATTTTACTTTCATTTTATTGCCACATTTTTCATCACACTCATTGTTTTCTAACTGTCGCTAAATTGTTCATTTTCTTAGTCTGTTACCTCGGTAGAGCTATTTACTGTTTATAAAGCAATATGCACTTACAGGTTTGGGAGATGGTTTGGGCTCTGAGGGTCGCATGTGCAAGTGGGTCATCATTGCTTGAAGACGTTCGCGTTCTTTAGAAAGCTGTTAAGAAAGAGTGAGATCAGAAGCGTTTTAGAAATGACTGATACGGCTATTTTATGGCAGTGATACATCTTATCATTGAGCTTGTCTCAGAGTAATGATTCCCGCATATAAAAGTCTGTGTCAGTAGGAACTTATCTGGGAGGAAATGCAACTTTGGCTATGGGGGGGCGGGGGGCGCGGAAAACTTTTATAGCTTTCCTTATGTTAAAAGGTCAGAGAAAACAAATAACACTTCATCTTTTTGTCAATAAGAGAATTGAGGTCACACTTGCCTCGACAGTAACAAGTTACTGAAACCATAAATTAGAAGGCCCACGGTGTCTTTTAAAGTCCTGTGGACACTGTTAGCAATGGACTAGTGCCAACAGCTGTGAAGGGGTGAAGGGTTCTCAAAGCGAAGTGCCTGCCAGGATTGTCTACACACTTCATGCATTCCCACTGAGGTCCAGTTAGTGCCCCCTGCAATCTGCCATCATCAATCTAATTCAATAGAGTGACAGAGACCAGGCAGTGTGAAACGCTGAACTCTGCCACGGGAGTCAGCATCTACACTTGCACTGGGTCTCATTACAACTGACGGACCTTACTTCTCCATCAGTCAGACACAGCAGAGGGAGGAAAAAGAAAAAAAAAGAAAAAGAAAAAGAAAGGAGGCATAATTGGTCACACTGCAAACTGGATCATCAGCTAAACTCTTATGTTTTAGTCTACCTTTTATAAATGGTAAACAGGTTTACAAAAAGCTTTTCAAACTACAGCAGTCATGATGTTTTTTACGTGTTCTTGATTATTTACAGGTAAAAATAAAATGTTTTTAGTAGCTCTCTGGAAAACAGCCGTGATGTGATGAGTTTAAAACAATTTAAGACGTAGTAATGCGTTTAGAAAAAGAAACTGTATGTTTAATAAAATGAAATGAAGTATTGGTTTGATTGAGAAAAAAAAAAATCTTTAAGAGGAAGTATTAGCCAAAGCTTTAAAGGGTTGGTAAAAACATAACAGGAATGATAGAGTGACACAATTACTTTCTGATCAGTTTTATGAGCTCTATTTATTTTTGACCACATTCTGTTTCAATATTAACAGCAGTGTTTTTAAACTTAAATTAGCAGCATCGGAAACAACACATACATATTACCGTCCATAGTCTTATAGGTGACCGGCCATTATTCTAGTAAAGGTAAGTCTTAAGAATCTCTGCAAGTTCTTTAATTAAAAAAACACCAGAGGTTGAAAAGAAAAAAAAAGGGGGGGGGGGTTTCAGGGTGGTATCTGACAGGCATGATATAGTAAAGACTTTTTTTTGCTACATTATAAAATCTCATGGAACAAATCAAGATCGGCTCATGTGAAAACTGTCTCAGTGATAAAATCGTATCCAACTGTGGAGTTTAGTCTAACTTCTATTAGGGAAAAAAACTTAGAGTTGGCTCTTTTGGGATACCCAAATCTATATGACGTGGTCTAAAGGTTAGAGAGGTCTAAGTGATAAGGATGTTAAACTATAGCAGCCCCCCCTGCATCATCAGTCGCTGCCATCGTTATAAACAAATGAAAACCCCACGTATTTCTACTAGTCATTGTGTTAAAAGACTCGGGATCTACCCGTTACTCAATTTAACGCACCAGAAATCTGAGAAAGGGGTCCATGAAGAGAGCACCCAACAAACCTGTATTTCTAGTTGTTGGACCACCTGCATTTGCACTCGACACTGGGCCGTGCTCCGGTCATCCAGCGCGTGTTCATTGTTAAGGTGCCTAATGAAACACAAAACACAAACACAAAGTCAAGCTACGTCTATGTTCGTGGTATACGCTCCCCTTAAAAAGCACAATGCTGAAGCCGTATTTTCCTCCACGGTGGGAAAAAGGAACACCCTGAAACTATACAAAGAAAAGTTAAATGTGCTTATGTGTTTAGTGAAAATTATGTATGTCATATGCAGAGACCCCTCAAATGGCAGAAAAATGGCATCGTCTCTAAGCTTATCAGTTATTACAAAAAAATATTTCCCCAAACCATTTACAGAATAATAGTAGAAATCACTAGATGTATTTCATATACTCGTGTCATTTTTTTTAAAAAAGGGCACCTTTTAAATATATGAACCAAAAGTAATTCTGAAGAGAACAAAGGCAATTCTCTATTCCATTTCCGTTAAAACAGCCTGTGGTTCCTATGATGTTGTTTAGTGAGCGATGTCTTATTTCACCAGGATGTGGTGTGAATTATGTAAAGATGGCAAATTATCATCCCTTGGAAACATCAATACTTATGAAGAATGATCACTTGCTGTTACTAATAAATAAAGTACATTGAAGATTCTGGTAATCAGAAGTGTAAGATTGACATTTCATGTCTAGTGTCCTATTTGGGAGACATCTATCCTAATTTCACACAAAAGTGGTGAAAGATAAGACATTCTCATCATCTTACTCTAATCTTGACTATGTACTCGTCTGTTGTTGTTATTATTATTATAGCATAATATTAAAAAAGACCTCTTTAATGGGTGGTATGTTAATACACCAAAAGTAATTCAGTAGGGCAGCATCTCCAATGAACACGAAAATATTCAATAATATATTCTTTGTTATTTGTGTTATATAATTTATTTGCTGCCTCCTAAAGTTAAAAAAAAATCTTCACGCAATTTAGTATCCTTTGGTGGGTCTATTTCACCAATGAACAAAGTAAGGCAGCAATTTAAGAGATGTTCTCATCTATGCATATAGGTGAAATACGGAGCAAATTATTCACAAGATTAAATAAGAATTTATCTATTTGTCTATCTGGGTGCAAATACCATTTAGAATGGTGTAATAACCCAAAAAGTTTAGGACAACCCTAAGTATGCTGAATTCAACAAATATGTTTTTGTGCCCATTCAAATTATTCACCTATATTTCTTGAAATCAATAATGAAGCAGAAAAAAAATCTGCAGACATATAGAACACACACGAAGAAGAGTTAAAATGGTGTTTCCAAGAAAGAACTAATTTATAAATCAGCAGTTTTATTTGCTAGAAGATCTAGATTCCACTATTAGAAACCTTTGTTCCATTCTGCCCCATCCCTTGATAAATTAAATCTGTTCCTTTCCGTACCTCCTCACTGATCATGACAACAAAATCTCCATGTATCTTGGCACAGTTGTCATTCTTGGTTGAAGAGAAACTGTGGACTAAAATAGCAAGGTGTGTGAGGTCAAGTTTGAGGTGTGTGGTCAGAGGGCAGGAGAGGCTCTTCACCACACCTGTCTGCTCTAAGCTTAGCTCCATTCGGTTCTGTTAGGAACCTAACTGTAACGAGAACTAAAATTCACTCACTCTTTCTGGAAAGGAGGCGTGGAAGGAGCCAGAGGTCAGCTTAGGATGTAAAGTGTCACTAATTCTTAATTAACAGGCCGTTTAAACAGTGTTTTTCAGGTTTTCCTCACAATTTTATTGAACAATGATATAATTATCTGGCAATGTACTACAATAGGAGTCATGTTCTTAAGGCTTAATATTGCTATATTTTCTTAAGGTTTTTTACACCAGGAACTCTTGGGGCACAAACATATATTTATTCCACAATCAGTCTAAATGATGCATATCTTAAAAAATGCTTTAGCTATCCACAAAGCTCTGAGTGTAAAAGGAGCAAGATAAGTAGAATATTTAGCTTCACAGGAAAAAAATATATTCAGTATAACATGTTTATTTTTGCATAAAATCACCTTTTGAGAAGGTTTTTTACACTTGTTTA